ACAATGTTGTGAAAAACATTTATTAATTTATTACACGAAAACTATTTTTTGTTTCAATATCGTATATTATATAAATTTCCTGGTTTTTCCGTGGTGCAATCGTTGGAAGTGTTTGTTAAGTAGTCTAATTTGGAATCGTAATTAAAAATACAAAAATTATTGTAAACAAGTATGTTTTGGTTTTAATCTTTAAAAAGTAGTTTATATATGATTAATCTAAAATCATTAATCGTATTTAATGTTAGATATTGTGTAAAACTGATAAAGTTTAGACAGCGTTCAAAATTTAAATAATATGGGTGACATTGAATGGTTTTAAGTTACCCACCCATATTATTTTTATAATGGGGTGTCTTGATCCTAGAAAATTTCCAGAATTTAAAGCAGATATTAAAATGAAAATAGGAAGAGTCCCATCAGAAAATATATACAACATGGGTGTCGGGATTTCAAGACGATCCTGGAAAGATGTTGCTTTTTCGAAGGGTCTCTCGACATCCTGAAGTTATAAAAACACCAGTAAATCGTGTAAGTGTGGTCTTTTGTGCAAATGCTGATGGTGAAGTTTTGCCTCCTTATTTTATATTTAAAGGAAAGAAGAAAGGTGTTCAGATTGGCTGCAGTTCGAATCTGGATGGATAGATTCTTCAATCTTTGAGAAGTGGTTTCAAAGACATTTTATCCCATACGTTGATAAGCATGGTGGCAGAAGGTGCTGTTGTGCGATAATCTCAGTAACCACATTTAGTTACTAGTGATTACGATTTTGATCTCAGTTGATAACCAAATGAACGTATAATTTATTACGTTACACTCATGTTCAACTTTAAACTGTTAAAATAAAAAAATTGTTCTATTTCCCACAAAATTGGTCCACCTCGATTCTAATGGCAAAACCAAGCTATATATCACATTTAAACGTAAATGTGGATGTAATTTTGATGATAAGGTTTTATTTAATGAAAATATGTCATATGATTTTACAAAAATCTTAAAATATTCGAATCATGATGGTTTGGTAATCTCAGATGATGCTCTTTTGATGTTAACTCTGACCTTTTTGGTTTATGTATTATGTTTGAATTACTTTAAATTTGGAATGTTAGTTTTATTTGTTCAGACTGAATTGTGTCATATTTGATTGATTCCGTAAAAATAGCTTATAGAAGTAACATGTCTAGCTATCTGACATAACTCTTGTATTTTACATAAATTTCATAATGATTACGTTTCATCTAAAATAAATCCAAAATGTTTAAGTTAAAAATAAATAGTTTTCTAATCAGTCCTTAAGTGTCTTTTTGGTTTGAAAGTGATCCCATTAGTCACCATTACCATTCAAGATTTGCATCCTAAAAAATTATATTCAAACTTACCCTAAACTCAAGATAACTTTGAATTTGACTTGGGGAAATTGTGGATAGTTCTGGTGTTTTTTCGTAAATTTACTGTCGGAAAATAAACCAACCAAATAAATCCGTGCTCTGATCCTGTACTCAGACCGACATGGTGACCGACACTTCAATGTACCGATAGTCAATGTGGCACCTTTGAAGAGACTGCAGCACTGCCCAAGTCTCGATCGAATCGAAGGCTTTCTCATAGTCCACAAACGCTACGCATAATGGCAAATTATACTCTTCTGTATAATTTGCCGCAGCGTATGAATGTGATCTATGGTACTATAGCCTTTACGGAAACCGGCTTGTTCGGGATGCTGGAAGTGATCAAACCTGCGTGCGAGACAATTCATGATCACCCTCGAAATCAGCTTATAAACATGGCTCAGAAGCAAGATGGGCCTGTAGTTCTTCAGCAAGGTTTTGTCACCTTTCTTGAAAAAGAGGACCACCAAGCCTCCGTTCCATGTTTTGGGCGTAGTACCTTCGAACAGGACGGAATTGAAGAGCTTCTGAAGGACTCAGTACCGGTGTTCCACCCGCTTTCAGAAGCTCTGATGTAATTCCGTCCTCACCCGCCATGTTGTTGTTATTGAAGCTGCTTGAGGGCCATCCTTATATCGAACAGGCTAATTTCCGGGATATCTTCTGTATAGTGTCGAGTTAATTTGGCTCTTGGATCTTTAACCAAATCGTCAAAAGGCTTGGCGCTCGAGGTATATAACTGTCCGCAGAACTTTTCGATCTCCCTCAGTACCTCTTACTTAGTAGTCGCTACACTGCCGTCTTCCGACTTCATTAGTATTAAATTTACGGATTTCGTGTCACGACTGATAAATCAGTCTATTGAGCTGCCGATATGCTTCAGCGTCCTCCGACCGTTGGGGCAAAAAGGTTCTCGAGTGGAGACCACGCGACGGGAAGCGCAGCGTAGGAAGGCCGCACACAAGGTAAACGGATGATCTAGGCAAGATCGCAGGGACGCGTTGGATGCAGGCCGCTAACGACCGGTCTGGAAGTCAATGGGGGAGGAGCAGTGGACGTCCTACGGCTGATATGATGATGATGAAATAAACCAACTCAAAAGGACACTAAAATTAAGGCGTAATAGATCTAAATCAGATTGTAACAGCACAAATTCTGTAAAAAAATGTTCAAAGTTACCCAAACTGACGTACAGAAATTTAGCGATTTTTTTATTGTTTCATGTCGAAATTAACTTAGGCGAATAATAGAATAATTGTGGGATTGATAATTTCCACTCGGCCCCAACAGGTGCTGTGCCCAATCGCCCACCGGTGGGCCGCGCGAGTTCATCGTGTTAACATTTAAGCGGACAGCGAGTTTTTCTTTTTACATAAGAACTTAACAAAATTGAAGAGAGTAGCAGTAGCGCAGGGACTAATTTCTCATTTTATGCACATACTATATAAGGATTATAAGAAAATTTCTAACAAAACATGATTTGTGTGAAGAGTTTATTATTTTTGGCCCATTTTAACATTCATATATTTTTGAGAATTGAAAACAGATAAATTATTATAAGAGAATACATGCGATTCTTAAATTTATTCAGCACCATACAGATTCGATTACGTCCTTACAAAAACTCGTAACTTCAATTGAAATCAAGCCAAAGTAAAGATTAATTTAATTTTTGAAAAAAAATATGTGCATGTAACATCAATTAAGTCAGTTACAAGTTTTAATAGACCACTGATATGCTGAATAGGTACATATTTGTTTTTTACATTAAAAAAAAACTTAATTTTGTATATTTCGAGCATGATTTATTAAATTTTACAAAAATCTATGATATGCTAACCAGTTTAAGATGGCGGCAAAGCCTGAACTGAACTTTTGTTTCAAAATAACTTCTTTTTTATAAGATTCTTTTAATGATGTTAAGATACTTATCAGCATCTGTATGGATACACACAAGAAATCAAAGTACAGATTAACTTTTTGACTATCTTCACACCAAGTCAGTGCCATTAACACATGATAAAGTTGGAAGACTAAAATAATTATAATGGCCTAATAATTATCTCACCTTTATCACGTAACTAAGCAGGCATTACATCATATTTATCACAGATTTGGAGACGTTTATAATTTTTGATACATGAAAAAATACTTTTAGTTACAAGTCTTAATTGAAACAAATTTAAATCAAACCCTTTGTTGCATAATATTCGATGAAGAACAAAAATATGAAGAATAGCAGTGTAATATGCAACTTTGGACTCTCTTCTCACATATAACTTGAGCAATATTAGCATAATTATTATGCTATTCTTGTATCAAGATTCCAAACTATTATCAAGAAAAATGTTGCATGTAAAGGAAATAAATACATATTGTGATGAGGAAGTATACTTAAATGAAAAGAATCCTAATAAACACATCTTCAGTATTCGAAAATTGGATAAACAAATACTTTTGAGACCAAATTATTGAACTCTTCACATGACATCCCAAAATATTTAGACCCCAGAGAGCAAAAATTGTTTAATTTCAATCTAATACAACATAAACACTCTCTAAATTAATTCCCCTTGAGACAGAGCAATGTGCTGCATCTGCAAGCCGCAACAGAGTCAGTTCATTCCCCTGCCTTGTTATTAGTCACAGATAAAAAAATTAAAAGAATGTCAAAGGCAAGGTGGCAAAATTATAAGGTAAACTTACATCTGCATATGTTCTGAATATGTTCTGAATATTAATAGCTCTTGAAAAAATTAACTATAAAATATATTTTTTTGCTTCAAAAAACTGCACACCCAAGCCTTGACATAGATAATACACATCATAGTGTACAAAACTGTGACTTTACCGCTTAATTAAAAACAGAAAGAGAATCAGAAACTTTGAAACTGGCTAAGATAATATCAACTTCAATTACTAGATTTTCAATTACCACAATTATACATCTTCTAAATAATAATCGAAACTACTCTTTTAGTCCAATTTTTTATCTCAACCAGATCTTGGTTTAAAAGCGACTTGTTGGATATAAACATTGTCTCAAGCGGCCAGAGACAACATTTTTAACACAGAATTTAAAATTTATTGTTTTCTTTATTCAATAATGTTTATTTGAGCTAGTCTTAAGGCCTACCCACCCATATAACAGAGTATGTTTATGAATTTTTGAAAGATTATGATAACAGAAACTGGTGCTAGCTCAAATTCTAAAAATATGGGCAGGTTTACATATAGGAAGTCTACCACAATTTATGTTAAGATCACAGACAAATCTAGATAGACTTTCACATGCAGCAAGGATTGAGATAAATATTTTACGTTTTAACAATGTAGGAAACTGCACTCAATATCCAATATGGACAAAGGGCGCAAGATGCCTTCTGTAGTCCCGATGTTCGTTTATATATACACTTTTAAAAAAGTAACCCACTGGGGGGTATCAAGTCTTATTTCACAATAAACTATTTACACGCACATTTTGTTACAATAAATTCATTACACTTTTTACAAATAAGTTTTTTTGTTTTTGTTTTTTAAACTAATTCCTTTCACCAGTCAGCAAGTCCAGATATTTGTTGTGTGCGAATGTTGACGCGTGGCGGCACGGCGTTACTTTTCGGCCGAGTCGTCTTCGTCCGGTCGCGCCACATACAGCGCCGGATCGATTACCTTTGGTATCGGTTTGATCTCGGTGCCCAGTTCCTGTTCGATGCGGTGCAGTGCGAAGCGATCCTCGTACGTGATCAGATTGATCGCGATACCCAAGTGGCCGAACCGCCCGGAGCGTCCGATACGATGCAGGTACGTCTCGGCCATGCGAGGGAAGTCAAAATTGATCACGACATTGACCGCCTGCACATCGATACCTCTGGTGAAGAGGTCGGAGCACACAAGATTGCGGCAGAGGCCCGCACGGAAGTCGTGGAACACGCGATTACGGTGCGCTTGGGCCATGCGTGCGTGAATGTAATAACAGCAGTAGCCTAACTCGGTTATCTTCTTTGCCAGCAGCTCTACACGTTGAGTTGAATTGCAGAATATTATAGACTGGTTAATTTGTAGCTGAAAGAAAAATTAACGATTTATATATATGTGTAATTTGCAAAAACACATTTTGCAAATTGGTAAATATTTATTATTCTAAGACAAAGGAAATTACTCAACACATTTGAATAATTTTCAATAACAATTTAAAAAATACAATCTACCAAAAGCAAAAAGTTCTTATTACCTTTGAAAATAGTGTATTTAAACAGTGCACTTTCTGTCTTTCTTGTACAAATGCATAGTATTGTGTGACTCCTTTAAGTGTAAGCTCCTCCATGAGGTTAATTTCATATGGTTCTCTAAGGTGCTTCTCCATGAATTGCTTAACACTTAATGGAAATGTTGCAGAGAAAAGCAAGATTTGGCGCTCTTTTGGTAGTCTGCAAAACAGTAGAAACAATATAAAAAACTGTCAGCAATGTTTAAAACAAGAAAAGAAAATGAAAGAGCAACTTGCCGTGAAATGACCATGTCTAGCATGCCTTTGAAGTCTTGAGAAAGTAATTTATCTGCCTCGTCAAGAACTAACATCCTGCACTGGTCCATCTTAGCTACTTGTTTATCCATGAGATCAATCATTCGACCTGGCGTTGCAATAATTACTTGAACTGGAACAATGATTAGTTTTTAATTTTTTGTATACAGGGTAAGCCTTCTAAAGGTGCCCAAATTCACACGGAGGTTCAGACTCGGTAGTATAATCGTTTATTGAAATAAAAACAAATTTTTCGAAAAAAATATTGCAATCCTGTTCCCTAAAAAACAGAAATTGTTGACAATGTGGTGGTGATTCATAAATGCGTCGTATACTTTGGAAACGAACTTGTGTGCGTGTTAGTTATGAATGATCGCGCGTAAAATAAATGAGTTGCCCATAAATCACGCACTTTTTGAGATAAGTTCAAATCATCATCATCATCATTTCAGCCTGTTTGAGTCCACTGCTGAACATAGGCCTCCCCCACAGTTCAAATGAATGTAATTAATTAATTATGAGTGATTTTAAATATTTATCATTTTATATATAACATTATAAGAAAAGCCTCCCTGTATAGTTTAATGGCTGTACACATCAATGTGTCTATTTCAGTTTTTGGCTTAAGTAATAAATGACAAAGTAGAAATAGTAAAAAATATCATGACATTAAAAATAAAATTTAATAAAGAAATATACTTTTTAATTAACATATTACTTTTAATTAACATATTTTATAATTAGAATATTAAAAATTGATATTGTTCATTAAATTGCTTTTATGTGTTATTATGGGACTTATAGAATTTGCAAACATAAAGCCTGATGTTTTATATTTTTTTTTTTTATAAATTCATGGCATTTTAATTTATGAATAAGTAGAATAAGTAATAATAGTTCAATTTGTTCCATATTAATTTGTTATATTGTCACTGGACAAGCAAAATAACTTAATCAAGAAATAAATTCGCATTTGATTTGAGTATAATCTTATAACAGAGTAAAGTAATAAATTAAAACAAAATCTTTTCTCCAAAGTTGGTATCTTACACTTTACACACTATTACATTGTCGGTGTCCATACAAGCTCAAGTAAATTTTTATATTAGGACATCCAAGCACTGTAGTGTACAATAACATACTGTTTGTATTGGAATTAAAACAAGAACAGAAGATTAAAACAAACAAGAATGTAATGAATTTGTAGTTAACGGTGGAACTTAAATTATCTAATTTAAAATATAAGATAGTTTAAATTTTAAGTTGAACATGTTAAGTTTAAGAAATTTAAAGATATGTAAAAAAACAAAATCAGTGCTCAATGAATAATACTTACTTATCAATGTAGGCACTAAATTTCATGTTAGTTAATATTGACTTTATTACATGAATCATATGTAACATTCACATATTGAAATATTCAATACTGCTTTTCTATTTTTCACATTATATCCAAAACAAAAAATGGTAAACTTCTTACCACCACACATGATACAAGTGTACTCTCAAGACAAGACTACCCACCAAGGGAAACTAAAATATCCCAAATTAATTTTAATAAATATTTCAATTGAACAATGATGTTAAAAAATATTTGTGGAATAATTTAAAAATTAAACCAGAGTTTACCTAATGCTCATTATACATTTCTGTGGGGGAGGCCTATGTTCAGCAGTGGACTCAAACAGGCTGAAATGATGATGATGATGATGATATACATTTCAGACCGGTGACACTCATCTTTTTCTTAACACTATTTAATTTTATTTGAGAAACAACTGTTTTCGTTTTCATAAGACAGCACCATGTCAAACCTAGGAATATAATAAAAATAAACTCACCATTTTGATATATACGCATTATGTCATCTCTGAGGTTTGTTCCACCTGTGGTAACCATTACACGTATATCTGTATGCTTTGCCAGCTCAATGCAAATTTGTGATGTCTGCAGTGCTAGTTCCCTAGTTGGTACCACAACTAAAGCTTGAATAGCATCTTTTTTTGGATCAACCTAAGAACAAGAACATCCATTAAAAACAATTGATCTCTACATATTAAATATATGATTTACATATTTAGTGTTTCAGTTATTGGTTTATCACTTATAAACAAGTGAAGGGGAATCCAAATAATATCATCATTAACTATATAAAACCGTTTAAAAACTTTTTTTAAACGGTTTTATTTTCTGTTTTTTTTTTTTGTGCACTGAAAACTACAATATTGTATTGTCATCTAAATTAAATGTGTGTACCAAATTTCAGATCAATCTGACAACGGGAAAGTACTTAAATATCAATTTCTAATTTCGACCCAAATAAACAAACAAATTCCGTACAGGTCGAGCTAAATAAAACCGTTTAAAAAATCATTACAGATTTATTTAATTCTAAGGATTTTAAACTTTAATTGATTTGATTACACAAAGTTACAATTGGAAAAGATCATATAAGCTTGTTGATCTCAAAGGAAGAAAAACATTTAATAAACATTTGTTACATAAAGAAAAATCGTATCATACCTGTTCTAACACCGGAATACAATAAGCTCCTGTTTTGCCAGTTCCATTCTTTGCTCTAGCAAGCACATCTTTACCACTTAGAGCAATAGGGATTGAAGCCTCTTGAATAGGTGATGGCTTTTCCCATCCCTTTTCAAATATACCCATAAGGAGCTCTCTTTTAAGGCAAAACTCTTCAAATTCATTACCTCTTGTATCCGTCACATCCTAATAACGTACATGAAAAATTGAATAAAGCTCTTGTAATTTAATCAGTAATGAGGGTATTTGAAAAATAAAACTCACACTAGTTTTTATTCTTCTGTCTTTGGGCGGTATTTTTAATTTTGATTTCCATCCTATGTCTTCAACAGTTTTATCTACATTTCTGTAAAATATTAGTTCAAACATTAGAAGTTATGAACGAAGGTTGATAAAAAAATGGCGCACAAAAATATACAAACCCCTTAGTCTGGTTATTCATACTGTTTCCAACGTGATTACTTGAACTAATTCTATTTTCGGTCATCATTTTGCCAAATATCTCCCACTATGGGGCCACTAAAATTAGAAACTTATCACAAATATTTATCAGAGTCCAACACTAAACAAATTTTACGACAATTCACTTTTGGATACATAAGCTAAAAAGAAGATTATCACGTTCACCAACTTAGTCGAGGAATACCTGGAAAGATAAAAAGTATAATTTATTAAAATTTGAGTACAAGATTCAGTAAGAGACGCGTCAACAAGCAAAATACATAATATATAAGTACTTATATACAGATACAGGGACAAAGTCTTATTTGCTTTTAGGAACGAACTAGTATCACGATTACAAAAAACTTTACAAATCATTCTGAATGCCAAAAATGTTACATTAAGACATTAGAAGATTGAAGAGATTAACAAAGATAAATGTTCCATTTAAAGTACCAATTTAATATGGCCGCCGAATATAGAAGTTCAGTAATCAAAATTTATAGGAAAGTCTTACTTGAATTAATTACAAGTTCGCCATGTGAAATGTATATTTCAAGAAAATGAAAATGGAAAGGATAACAAATAAGTTAAAATAAACAAATATCACCTTGATAAAACTTTACAAAAGACGGCGACACTCGATACTCGACGACGACATCACAAAGTAACCAAGCGACAGTGTTACCGATTTATGAAATTACAGTTATAAATTTCAATGTTGCTAAATTAGGACGCTGTTATTTTATTTACATAGATAACACGGACCAATATTTACAATCTGAATTCAATGAGATTAATTTTCTTTAAAAAAATAATACTGTTATAATTAATTAAACAACGTAATATAAAATAGTTAATAGACTTATTTAAATATTTTATTTTTCATCTTCTAAATCAATATACCTATGTCAGCGTAATTATTTTTATAGAATGAATGTGGTACTTATCTGAAATGACTAATACGTCCTTAAAATTAAGAATTTGAAATTTATTATAAAAGAATTTAAATAGAAATTGGAGAGTTATTAAGAATTTGAAACAAAGCATTCGCTAAGCAGCTGCTTAAAGCTGCATTTTGTTATATATCTCTTTTATTTTTTGAGATAACAAAATTATTGTATTATATTTTATAAAACAGGCTACACGTTAAAAAAACATTTTTTTTCTTGGACAAACACCTAGAAAATGTTTATCACTTAGCATAGTTAATACGTTATAGAACAAGAACAATCCATTAGCAATATTTACATATAAGAAGCATAAATAATAGTGGTGGGTTCTTGTGAAATTTTTGACGGAATGAAAGTCCTGACGAGTGAAACGGTTGTAGAAAACAGCTGTCATGCTACTATTACTGTTTTTACGATAGCTTAAAGGAGGAAGAGAAACTAATCCAACATGAAATAAAATTGCGTTTTCGTTGTTGCAGTTTCTTAGTTCTTTCAATATGTATAGGGAGTTGCTTGTTTACTTTCTATGAAGAAATGGAAGCCAAGTAGAAGAGTTTTTTTAAGACGGTTCTTCAAATTATCTGTTGTTGATCTAAAGTTATTTTTATTTTCATTATCTATATCAACTGCAATCATAGAACACTAGTATTTTTTTGCACCGCCAACATTACACAAACAATATGAAAACAATTAATAAAAAAATTACATACGAGGCGCTCCGCTCGAATTTCTGGAAATTCATTTCGAAGTTCATGCAATTTTTATTATATATTAACATAAACTTGCTCGGGTTGGATCTTTGCATAACGAATGACACTATTTTTTGGACGTAAAACGCAGAACACGAAATATTCAGTCACAAAGACCACTCTTAGTAAATACGATATCTGGATGGTTCAGTTCGGCCTTCTGTACACTGAAAATAACGCAAATTTACCACCGAATATCACCGTGAAATAGTAGACTTCTAAATTATATCTAGGAACATTTTTTAAAATCAATTTTTATTTTATACCTTATTTCGTTCAAAATATTTTCTTTCTTCGTTGAGTAGTAAGTAAATCGGTACATAAATTCATTGTTGCCAACACTAAAGTATTCAGAACTAAGTATAATGAAATAGATACTTCGATAACTGTTTTTTTTTGGCAACGAACGATTATTACGTCTCAAAGGTAGAAATGAAAGTGTTACAGACAACAGTTACATCATTGGCCTAATTCGCCATTTGACATGTGTCAAATGTCAATTGTCTGTTTGCTTTACAATTGTTAAAAAGTTTTTAGTGTTATTATATTATTAATTATCGTATATAAATCACACAATAGCAGTAACATATAAAAGTTGAATAAAAAACAAATATATTCCATTTATAGATACTTTTTCTATTTGAAATATTTTTATAATACGTTTTACTGTTTTTCGTTATCAATTCTGCTTTAGATAATAGTATATCTAACCATAGTAACAAACCATGTAATAAAATGTTAATTATTTTCAATTAATCTAAGCATTTCAGTATTATACATTAAAGTTTTTTAACAGGACTGAATATTGGAAGTCACAAGCGCGCAAATATTGTGAATTTTGTAAGTGTTGGTTTGCAGATAATAAGGTGGTAAGTGCATAATGCTCACTTATTTTCTAAATATTTCGTCTTCTTCAAACAATAGCCAAGCCTTAAAAGCTAGTTATAATGCTTTATATCTGATGATACTGATAAATAATTTTAATGTGTTAAAAAAATTACAATTAATTTTGATAAATAAATCTATTAAATGTCAATATTGTTGATGTATATTTTATTAGAAATCATGGGTAAAATTTTGAAACGAGTCGCCTTCGATTAAAAAAAAACTTTAAATTTAAAAAAAATTGACCGTACAAACTCCTCCTATATTTATCATGTTGGTAAGTAGTTGGTATTGCGATTTATTAAAATTAATAAAATGTGCGTACTTTCTTAGTGAAAATAACAAGTTTAAAATTTTTTTTTAATTGAATGCGACCGGAAAATACTGCTTGTTGATTAATTCATTTGTGATTTTTCTCTATAGTTAAATTTTTTTATTATTCGCATCTTCCAAAACAGTCACGTTTTGTAAGATTTTTAAATAAAGAAAAAATAGCTATTTACATTTTTTACGCGTCTCTGGCAGAAAAAAACGCATTAGAGTGTTTGGTACGGACCTCTGTAACCTCCCCAAACTTACAGTGTACTTAAATTCGGGCGACTCGATTCAAAACCTAACCCGATATCATGTTTAGATTAGATGCTTCATTGTTTGGTATAAAATATATGTTGATAATGAATATTAAAATATAACTTTGGAGAGTTTTATTATATCTGCAAAATTAAACAATTTGAAATTAATGTTGTTATTGAGTTATAAGTTATACTTAATTTAACCTGGGTTCTTATAATAGCTTAAGTATATTATAATATACAGTATTCCTAAAGAATTAAACATGTAAGCAAATATTTTTTCCAGTCTATATCTTTTCATGAAAATGGTAAAAGGCATAAAGAGAGTGTACAAAAACATATCTCACAACTTAGCAAAAAAAGTGCAAAAGAGTTTAAGCAGAAAGAAAAAATTGATGATGATATGAAGAAAATGGAAGCAGCAGCTATGGCTGCTTACTTAAAAGATGTGAAAAACAATGGTGATCTTACATCCAAGGTAAGAATGTTTAAAATTAACTAAATAAAATATTTGAAATATGAACAAAACTTGCAAAATGTTTCATCATCCCTTAGATCTTTTTCATATATTACATTTTTGGTATAGTATAATATTTAAAGAATTATAAGTCTTTTCCTATTTCGTAAAAATGAGGTAAGTTTCCTGTTTGTAGGTCATAAATGAAATGGTGGAGAAAAGTGGTGGAAGTGCCGCAGATATAACATTAAGCTGCACTGCAGATAAATCAGCTCCAGACTGGCATGAAATCAAAAATGATAATGGAAGCTCATATTTCTGGAATACAAAAACAAATGGTAATTGAAAACCAATTATTTGAAATACAGTGCAGACTAAGTAAAAAAAATATTTAAAGTTGGTTATAAAAATTGTTTCATTTAAATTAACATAAATTTTATTGGTAAATTGCTATTCAAAAAATTTTATTTTGTCCATTTTGCCAGTGGAAATCTTTAAATATAATGTAATTGCAGAAACCTCTTGGGAACCTCCAGACAATTACTTATCAATAGCTGATCAAGAAAAGAAAAATCTGAAGAAGGTTCCGCCTAGCAAACAGCCAGAACCGAAGCAGAAAAAACCGAAGTAGGTTCTATATTACTTATAAATTATAAATTCTGTATTATGCTTCAGCTTTTTTTATGTGAAAAGTTATCAAGCAATCTACCGGTTTACCTGATGTTAAGTGAATATCACTGTCAATAGACATCTACAACACCTGAGGATTTGCAGATATGTTGACTAACTTTAAAAAAATGGGCCCCAATTACCTTACTCAGTAGAAAAAATTTGGAAGCATAATACATATTTCCTCTTCATACAATGTGAGGCAGTGGTGCTTACTTGAACGAGTCTGCCCACTTAGGCAACAGCAGAAGCTGTTGTCTGGCCCTATCACAGTAAATCTTTATGGTTGGTTTAATTCACAACTCCTTTGCTGTCAATAATATCCCTAATGCTCTTTAAAACCCTGGTACTGCTGTGTTCAGTACAGCACTAACACAGCAGTAGCGACCTGGTAATTTTAAATAATGGATTAAAAAAATTGCAACAATCTATATAAATGGAAACACTTTCATAATTTATAATATTAGAAAAAGAAGTTATAACTTAATATACAGTGTGTTGTTACCATCTCGACAATAAATTAACAGACATATAGAGGATAAGTTTTTAAAGTTGTATTAAACATTTAAATTCTTTAAACATCAATATTTTCATTAGAGTTATTAAATTTTCCAAAACAAAGAATTTTAGAACACCCTTACGTATAAAAGCGTAACGTAAAGTTCATTTGTAAAGGTCACAAAGCATATGAGTGGGTTGAATGAATTTAAAAGAGACAAAACATACTGTTAGAAGGAGAGGCTTGTAATACGACGCTGTGGCGCGAGTTGTATAGGTGTTACAAATTTTGTTTCTTTTTTACTTATTTAGTTTGTTTGAAAACATTTTTTTTAATTATGTATTTTGTTTAACGTTAATATTTTTTTATGATTATTGGCACGTAGCGTTAGACGTGTGTTCATTTATTGTCGCGATCGTAACGACACGCTGTATATATACATTTGGCTATAATGTCATCAAAGCTATGGTCATTACTTTCATCAGCTGCAAAAGAAAATTGGTAATAAGTAATATATGTTAAAATTGTTCTTAGGTTTGAAAGAGTCATCATTTTTCTTAATAATTTATTACGTTGAAAAATTACTCAATAAATGTTGTCATGTAACAATTAGCTTATTAGAAAATAATATACCTCTGAACGCTTTTTATGACAAATTTTATATTGCAATTGTTTTTTGATAACAAAAAATACTATAAATTAAGATCACACATTTGTTTAAGGAAACCTAAGAAGAAGGATTTATCAAAGAATATTGGAACTTTCATAGAAAATAAGAAGTCAAATAAGGTGGGGTTGGATACGTCAACTGTAGTTGGACCTCAACATCCAATTAATCCATATGGGTCATGGACTCCTGTTGTGAATGTGTAAGCTGTTGGAAATATTAAGTATAACTTATGTAAACTGATTGAACGGGTATTTTTTTCTATAAAATCATTTTGTTTTGATAATGTTAGTTGTTAAGCTTATTCATATCGGAATAATGCCTTATATCATTTTGCCATCAAACAAAGTTTAAAGTTCATCCAGTAGTTCTATCAATTCATTACGGAAAGTTGTTTTTTTTTTGTAAGTGCATGTTAATCCAATGTTATCCAAATTGATCCAAATTATTGGAGCAGTTTCCCTATTTATATAAATATTTTTATATTTCTGTACATGTACAAAAATTTCTTGTTTTAAATAATAAGAATAAGATATGAACAACACAGAGTCAGAGTCTTGGCTACTAAGCATAATTTTAACTACAAAATAAAAAAAAATATTTTTTTTAGTTATGTAATTAGGTTTAGTTTTTTTTTCTAAATAATTGTGTTATCGGTTTTGTTCAGTTCCAGTAAATTTAATTCTTGCACGTAATTTACGTCATTGTTTGATTGTCCGCTAATCATAACTACATCATTATCTTCCTAAGAAACTATGGGATTTTATGTTTGAACTTTTAAATTTCTTATGAGATAAATAAGACATTACCCATTCTTAAACTGACCACTTTTTTCTAACTCAAAATGGGACATTGGGACAAAGGGACAGCTGTGCGAGAAAAGGAACATCCCGTTCAAAACGGGACGTATGGTCAATTATCCATACTTAATTAATTATTCAATACTTATGGTTTTAATATGACGAGTCACAAATTGCCTCGCGTAGCATTATGAAATGAACAAAAAGTTCATCCAAATAGTTGTCATAGACTTTTTTAAAACAGGTTGTGAAATTAAACTCTGGATGCTGTAATGTTTCTTAGTTAAAAAACTGGGACAAGGTGTAACAGTTTTTATCTATTCCTAAGTAAGGTAACAGTCGTAAGCATGAATAAAGAAAAGTTTGTGACAGTGTATTAATTATTATTTGTTATTCATGTTTGTTCGTAACAGGTACAGTCTGTTATTTCGAGATACCTGCTACGATACATACGCCTCCTAGTTGTTACTGAACACTCACTGTTACAAGCTCTATCTTTTTCTTGCATCGGTCTTAGCGCTGTCACAACACTGTATGAAATAACAGACTGTTATTTTGTAACAGATATTTGTCACTGTTACTTTTAAGGAACAGGAACAGGCTTAACAGGTACTCGATTTGATCTTGTATAGCTCACTCATAATCAATTCAGAGTTCAAAGAATTTTACCTAGGGATGATGAAAAAGTATCGATATATGGATTATTTTTAATAAAAAATCGAATTTTTTGCTTGCGCTTAATTTGATCCGATATGAAATATTCAATGTCGAAATCGTTACAAAAACGATATTTTTTCAAATTCGAATCCGGAACGGAGTCCGTAAATTCAAATGTTTAATATTTGACATGCATTTTTTTTCCATATTTATATTTTTGTAAATATCGATATATTTCTTCACTTTCGGTATCCCTATAAATTAGGGATACCGAAAGTGAAGAAACCATACTTTTGACGACTCAAATAAATGTCATTTGGCCAGACAAGCCATTTGACAGATGATTAGTTAACTTCTACGATGATCAGTTTCAAAAACCGGGCGTGAGTTCTAATATTGAACGGTTGGTAGTTAGAGGTCGAAGGTGTCGGCCAGTGGGAATACCAATGACACGCTAATCGATGCCCTTATCCGCGCCGACAGGGCCGCGGAGAATGTAGACCTGCAGCTACCGAGGTCCGATAAGGAGTTGCCCCCGCCACCGGTGGTCGTCGAGCCCGAAGTGGTCCAGTTCAAGGAGAAGCGTGTCGAATCGCTGGGCGATGGGCCGGTCATGTTCAAGAAGCGGAAACTCAACAACCCCAAAAGGAACATGCGACAGAAACTTGACGACGACTGAAACAAGATGTCGAATAAATGGCATATTATTGTTTGAGTGTTGCCTTTTTTCCCCCTCTTCTTTTGTCCCGAATTGATAATAAAAAAGATAAGTACAGATTTTCTTTGCGAAAGCATTTATTTCAATGTGTTGCGAATAGCAGCTGTTTTTTTTATTTGCTGCTAAAACAGCAATGCAAAAAAAACGAGTTCTCAAATTTAAAGCTAAACCCGATTTAATTTCTTGATATTGTTCCTTTTAAGAGTTTAAGGCGTATTTAATTTGTTTAAACAAATGTTATTATATCAAATATTATTTATATATAGTTATCTAACAGACCTTTTTAGCACGTTACGAGGGAAATCCAGAAAAAATGATATCCTTATGATACTGCAAAATAGATCATTAAAGTTCAAACACAATAATCAGATCTCTATATTAGGGAGGTATTGTAGACAGGAAGCTTTATTGTTCTCACAGGTAATAAAATTTGCTATAGTTATATGATGTGTATATGTCACTCAATCCGTGGTATTATGTTTAAATTGCACACGACAAAGTTTGTCATTTATAAAGAATCAGATCCAGTAATTGCGGACTGCAACTGCTTGATTATAAAATTTAAAAAGGATAAATTCACGTTATTAAAACATAAAATAATAAAATCATGATAATATCAGCTAGTCACTACATAGTATAAAACAAAATCGTCCCGCTGTCTGTTTGTCCCTATGTATGCTTAGATCTTTAAAACTACGCAACGGATCTTGATGCGGTTTTATTATTAGATAGTGATTCAAGAGGAAGTTTTATATGACAATAAAAATAAAACGTATAATACACTACTGCACCCGTGCGAAGCCGGGGCATGTCACTAGTTTATTACAAAAGAAATTACGTAAATTTATAAAGCGGATATCATGAATAAAAGCACTCTTAAGTTTTTTTTTATTAATATTGCACATTAAAATGATATCGGTATCCCTTTTGTGGTTCAATTTTTGCCGACATGAATATTTTCGTCTGCAATAGAGGCTACATATTATTTAGTATCTACATCCATATCCAGAATTTTATATACATACTAGCTGCTGCCCGCGAGTACGTCTGCGTAGAAAAGGCTGAAGGCGCAACATTCAGCAGACAGAAAGACAGATATATACTATAAAAACATGTATATAAATTATAGCCTATATTCTAATATATAAACTATATTATTGTAATTTCATTAAAATCCATTCAGTAGTATTTGCGTGGAAAAGTAACAAACATCCATCCATATAATATACAAACTTTCGCGTTTATAATATTAGTAAGAAAATATCTCTAATGCATAGATTTCTAGATGGCCGGCCAGTTTAAGTTTAGCATTTTGGCGGACACTATAAGAGCGATGAAGATTTACAAAATTAGGCATCTGATGCGTTGATGACTTTACAAAACTACAGCAGTCAATTACAAGAACGAATCAATGTGATATACAGCTAAGACAATAATAAAACATCATTGAAAGCGGTGGAATTCGTGAACTCAAAAGTTGTTATCTAGGTATGTTATTGAATGAAATTTAATTAATTTTTAGACACCTGCGAATGACTTAAACTTTTAATTAAGTATCATATCCATAGGTGCATGAGTTTTTATTAATATTTTTATTCAAATGAAATTCATATACAAATGCAAATACATTTCTTCGATAAAAATAAATTCGATAATACGTAATTAGCTTTTACTGTAATTAAAAAGTTTGACAACAATCATTTTTATTTTGAAGCTCATTTTATTATATCGACTCCGGATAAAGTAAAAGAAACCGTACGAGTAAAGTTGTAATTTGCTCACCTTTGTGGGTCTTCCTTTAAATGATAGGAATGCAGGGTTTTCATATAAAAATCTGTTCAAACATCTACGATAAGTTTATTTTTCGTCGATTATATCATCGCTTTGCAGTATTCACCTTATTTCCATATTCAAAAGCAGTCACAATATCAAGGTTGACGATGACAAATGCCTAAACAATTTGTATGTATCTTCTGTTTCTCAAACAATACATGCAGAATCATTACGTAGTTGGTTGTGAACAAAGCTTTTGTCAAAGTTTAAAATAGACTTGTTTTAGTCGGTGTTGCACATTTTTTATCGTATTACGACGCTTTAGCAAATAACACGAGTACCTACATACAAAATGTGTCTTGTATTTTTATGTCTCATTGGATTCTATAAGAGACTGATCAATTACCTGATACTGATCGAAAATAGGAAAAAGCTATTAATAAAGTTATCATCATCATTATAATACATTAATACCCTTTTCGTGGTGCATTTGAAAATATTTTTATACGGTGGTAGGGCCACGCAGCAGCCTCGGCTGTAGCACGAATGGGCAGGCCCGTCTGGGTTAGTACCAGGACCTCACAGAAGGCCAGCGTAAAGCATACTTCCATATGAAAAATACTTTCGCATTTCGTCTCGTGAGTGAGGTAGCCGGAGCCCAATTTTCAAAAGGTTGTCAACGCATCTGTAACCCTCGGGTGTGGCAGATGTCCATGGGCGGCGGTATTCACTTAACATCAGGTGAACCGCCTGCTCGTTTGACAACTTTTCGCATAAAAAAAATACATTTATGTATGTACGAATGTCGATTTTTTTTTACGTTAATTAAAAAAATGGACTTGTTAAGAGTAAAATATTACACCTATAATTCTGCCTGATGGTGGCATTGAACCCAGCAGCAGGAAAAGCAATAATAAGTAACATCCCAAAAGCTAACAATGTAGGTACCTACTCAGCACAGAAAACGCGGCGATCCAACAGGTAAGGTTAAATTGAAAGAAAAATATCGAACCTCTTAGTTTTATATTTGAAATGTACAAACATTCAAAATTTATTTTCCATTTTTTTGTAGAAATGAACCTTACATTGGATAAAACTCATATCTCTGAGTCAAAGATCCAATACCAATGAAATTAATATGGGTTCATGGGAAGCACCAGCTTTCAAATAAAAAAATCATCAAAATCGCTCCACTCAGTCGAAAGTTCTGATATAATGCGTACATACCTCGTTAAAATAAATGGCGTAATAGCGTTGACTTGACTAGAAGAAAAACGCAGAAACCTGGGAGGACAATGTTTTAAAATCGTTGTTTTAACTTCAGCATCATTAACGAAATAAAAATTTTGCTTAACCGATTTCCATTTCGAGAATTAAGACAAGAACGCGCAACGCGTTTTGAGAGACGTTTGAATACTTCGTTGATTTCCCAAGGTTGCAATGTAATTGTATTAGAGTATACACATCAAAAACAATAAGAGATCCTTTTGCTTCCGTTACAATTGTCCGTCAAAACTGTCTAGCCATTGGCAACAATACCCTAACTAGTGACGTTCGGAGAGTGGAATCGGGATTTTTAATTAAAACAAAGCCTTTAAATAACCTAAAATTACCTTCAATTAATAATGTACGCGTAAATATAAAAAAACTAAATGTGAGGTTAATAACCGTCAAAATATTTTCAGTGTTGTCTGGATTCGAATCTCTATCCTCGGAATAATAGTTGCTCGCAACCACTGAGCACCCACTATGCTCACGAAGCGAAAATCGCAACATCTAGCGTGCAGTCTAGCATGAAAAAAGTCTTATATAAGCAATTCTAAAATAATTATGGTATTTTGACGCACACTTAAAACATTACAGATAATTAACTTTATAAACATATTCGTTCTTGGAGCCTTCTGGACTAACTTATGTAACGACACAGAGCAGATAACACAACTAAGTATGATTCGATTATCAACGATTAGTGGCTGTTGTACATACTGTGGAACTAGCCGGATATGTTAACTTAACTCGAGCGTGAAAATATTTCAGCCTAGCCCAAAGCGGATGAACAATCATGAGTTATCCTCGTTGTTTTTGCGTTAAACCATTGCGACGTGCGCCGACTCCGGTCACGATGCGAGCAGCCTCCCATATGGACATGACGTAGTACTATTAACGTTAATGCGACATTGTATATTTTTACAATATGTCCGGTATCATTGAACGATGAAGGCGGCATTGTCATTATTCTTTCTAAGCACGAATGGGACGTCGAACGTCGGTATATAAGATTTGTCAGGACGGGTAACGAAGCAATATTGTCTTGGACACCGATCGCCAGCAGTTCTGTCTAGCATCAGCTCTAGACTGTTCCCTTGTTGTCTTTTGCATTAACAGGACTTTAGACTTCAATATGTTCAAATTGGTAAGGATTTTCTTTTGTTTATTTTCTTTTATTGGTATTGCTAGCATGTTATCTTCTCTTACTGATTTATTTTATAGTTTTTTTTAAATTTAAAATGAATCCATTTTAATTCTACGCGAGTCGTTCCGCTATCATTTGGGCTGGATTTGTAACTTAAAATTTTAACGGAAATTTGCAAAATTATTACAAATATATTAAATAATTCTTTTATTAAGACAATTCTTTTGTTATAGTTAATTTGATATCATTTCGGAGCTGCTTCATATCAAGTATTACTTGAGCTTAAAATTTTCGTAAGAGAAATAATCTAATACAATAAAATATATCATCTAATTGAGATGTATAAAAAGATCTGTTATTAGGTACTTCTATACAAAAAAAAATTCCTAATCATTTATATCTGAAGCATAAGATTATATATATATAATCATTTCATAAAATTAGGACGCTATACCTATTTGATCAAATTACCACAAAACAAACTTTTTGTCACTTCATCTTTCTTTTATTACTACAAGTATTAAGTGTTAATTTTATGCCGATATCGAGCCTGTAAATTTCATAACATCCTTACATAGATCATCTTATTATTGTATTTGAATAAATATCTTTCAATGAAATTAAACCATAAACAGTAACTTCTTGTGGTACAGACGCGCGACAGATTCAGCAGTCTCATAAATTTAAAAAGAGTGTCGTAAACTGCAATAATATTTATAATTACTTTAACACTTAATATGATTGAGGTAAACGTGGTTCCAGTCTTTTAAAT